ACATTTTTATAGATGAAAATTGAACTAAAGAAATAAATGGTAGATTAATCCATATTGAAAATAGGTGTCAGCTGCTACACTAATTATAATAGTTATATTTCTTAATTAATTAAGATAAGATATTACTGTATTGATCCCAATTTGGGAAATGTTTGTGTTGCAGCAGCATAACAAGAAAAACAAAATATAAGTTATTATATATACAAAAGTATGTGAGGGATGGGATATTAAATTGAATATAAATGTAAAATGTACATGTGATTTTACGTCCAAGAGAAGCTATGGAGCAGAGAGTTCTCTGCCAGCCAGAGGTGATTTGTTATTAGTTCAATATGTCAAACTGATTTCCCTGACTACAATCTTTAGTTACATGGTGAAACGTTATGCTGCTTGTACTAATTAGACTTATCATATAAGCCACACAGGTTTTAATAGGATGTATTCATTATCTTTACTTATGTTGCGGTCTTTTCAGCAGCGCCATCTCTAAAACCGCGATACAGTCACTACCCATCATTTACATTTCACCGTGACATGGACAAAAATGTAACATCAGCTTACCTCATAGCACGAATCCAGACTCTCCTTTGGGAAACATTGGCCGGGAAACGATAGAACGAGCACGTTCCATGCGAAGACATGTGGCTGCAACCCGGAGCAAAGCAACAAACCATTGCGTAGCTAACTAGTAGCGCTAGCTTTAGCTAACGTTAGCCAACGAAACGAACTGCCGAGTAAAATTGGAAAACGCTGGTAATTAATTGTTCTATAATTTGTAAAATTACGGTGTTAAAAAAGACAATTTCAAAAATACAGATTCTAATGGTCAGATATATATAGATACTAAAGATATGCATGTACTTGCTTTCAAGCAGAACACAGGGGAAAACAAACTTAGCGGGAGTGTTTACGTGTTCGGCGTAATGACGTACAACGGCCTCGACAATTTCTGTAGTCCTATTCAGCCACTCGGTAACAACCATCGTTTTTCAGACACGTAAACTCTTCAAAAATCCCCAGTGGGGTCACTGCTGATGTATTTAATGTCGTAGAACAAAACGTCAATTACCTCTTAAATTTGTGTCAACCACAGACCTTATTTCGAGCTATTTTCCAAAACCCTATGGAAAAAATGCATTGCTTTTTGAGGAAGGAACCGGAAGTGCTAAAAATGCTAACTTACTTCCGGGTTTTACGACACGTCACTGCGGCTCTCTAATGCAGTTTAGTTCTGTGGGAACGTAATTTTTAGGAGACAGGGTTGGTGTGAGAGAGAGAGTGTGATTAAAATAGCCCAATTGCTTTTACAATAAATAAACATTGAATGTGTTTAATTGAATAGGAAAGGGGTTTAACGTTAGTGGCAGGTTTTGTGTGTGAGAGAGAATAAATAAGACAGCCGCAACTTTCCGCAACTTCCCGCCATTTCACCGCATAAAATCACATACAAACCCTGCATGTTTAATCGCATAATCAAGGATTTTAGCCCGCATAATCAAGGATTTTTGCCCGCGTTTCTCTGGAGGGTCTAATTATATTGTTTAAACGGCATCATGTTGAGCTGACAGGCGACACAGAGGTCCACAGTGTATCCCCCCCCCCGATCGATCTCCGTCTCCCAGATCAAGGCCATCTAGTCGATCACAGTTTAACAGATCACACGTCTCCAAAACGAACACCAACAAGCGCAGATAGAATACCTTATCATCCTTTCCAAACATCCTACAATTAAACTACATTAACAAAGGTCAAAGGTAACAGTTAAAATACTGTCAATGTTACGAAAACAATCTATTACACATATCTTAAAGGTGGTAAAAAGGGAGGTGACAAAAGGGAATGGCATTATCCTGCTCAGCACTTTCAGTCATTTTAGGATTCGTGGAACATTCAATACATCAATTGTGCTTTTTATCTCTTAATGGATTACCAACATCATCAGCACATTCCATTAATCCCAATGAATTAATTGCCTTCACTTTTTGGGGGGTTTTGGCACCACTGCAGTAGATGGTTTTGTAATCTGACCTGAGATTAATACACTGGGAACACAGATAATCTCCTCACATTCATTGTGGTGGAGCATCGCACACAACGCAGGGATTCAACATAGCCCCCCCGGACTCCCCAAGTCCAGCCGATTCATCTGCCTTTTAATGCCTCTGCCATGATATCTATTTAGATCAAGACCCATGATTTATTTATTCTTGCTAAGGTTATGGCACTCCACTATAGTTTAACTTTTACGTTCAAACAACAAATACTTAATGTTACTCACGTAGTTATCATCATTATTTAAATTATTTACTTACATACAGTTGTCCTCGGAAATGACTCATTGATTTTCTCACAAAATGTCATTAAGCCTATATGAGGGGCTTGCAGTTTAAGCAAAACTGCTGCAAAAGGCATAATAGGCCTCCCAGATGTTGACCCCTAAAGTGTTTGTTACCTGTTGTGTTTAATCCTTTGCTTATACCTCCTTCAAATAGGTGGCATAGTGTGATTGGTTATCCCTTTAATCTTCAAGACAGCTGTCAGGATTTACTAGTGATAACCATAAGCCTATTTGGCACCTTGAGAGGGCTGCCAGGGTGAATACTGTATGAGGCAGAGTGATTCCAAATAAATGCTGAGAGGTTTTGACCCAAAACACAGGAGGACAATAATACATTTGTGAAGTCTGTTTGCAGGATGGGGAATACTAAGAGCAGCGCGTTGTCAAAAGAGCTCCTGGAGGAACTGAAATCCAACACTAAATACTCAGAGACCGAGCTCTGCACCTGGTACCAGACCTTCCTGAAGGAGTGCCCCGGCGGGAAGATCAGCAAGCAGCAGTTTGAAGGCATCTACGCCAGCTTCTTCCCCAATGCAGACCCATCGAAATACGCACAGCACGTTTTCAGGAGTTTCGACACCAACGCAGACGGCACTTTGGACTTTAAAGAGTACATTGTTGCTCTGCATCTCACGTCAGGGGGGAAGACGCTGCAGAAGCTGGAATGGGCCTTTGCTCTGTACGACGTCGACGGGAACGGAAACATCAACAAAAGTGAAATCCTGGAGATTGTTAGGGTATATATACCTTCTTCTTTCATTGTGATGGTGTAACAAAATTGTTTTGAAGTACATTTTATTTTATCCCTGAGTCTATTTTCAAAAGCCAGCTACATCTTTCACGCATAAATGTTGTTGAAAAGATTATATATTGGTATATTTGTTTTCTGTTGGCAGATCATTTATCACCCTATGTATTGCCATTAACACCTTTAATCTCTTGATGAATCCATAATGTTGAGGACTTGGTTTCATAGTTTTAAATCCTTATTTTAGTGTAATTGTTTAATTGCCATACTTTTTTAATTTGCTGTTGAATAAAGACCAACAGCCAAAAAATAACAAAATAATAAATTCACAGTTACATAAAGCAAAGAAAAGCAGTAGGACGTCATATTTGAAAAGCTGAAACAAGCAAATGTTTGATGAATTATTGATTTTCAAAATATTTCAGCACTAATCCATTCTAAAGAACACAGGTTAAAAATATTATTTGATGATGAAATTGAGCATGCACGATTAAAAACTTGTAATTGAATGACTCTCATGCAGTCAATATTCAACATGATTCCTGCTGAAGACCAGAAGGTCCTCCCCGAGGATGAAGACTCACCAGAGAAGAGGGCGGACAAGATCTGGCAATTCTTTGGGAAGAAAGAAAACGGTAACAATTCTTTAGCTCCCTTTAACAGTTTTTGTTATACAATGAAACACATCCACGCTTTGCTGCGGCTCTATTTGTACTGTTTTTCGTCTTTTTCCAGATAAAATCTCAGAAGGAGAATTCATTCACGGTGTGATGGACAACAAAGATATCCTGCGATTGATACAATATGATGAGCCTCAGAAGATTAAAGACAAGCTGGCGGAGAAAAAGCAATAATATATAATTGTTTAAAGCCCCCTCATGTGATTTTAAGTTTTTTCTTTTTCTGTTTACATTTAACATGATATGAATGCTTGCCTGCTTCTGTTACTCACTGTCTCTCCCTCTGTGTCTCTCACTGTTTTAGTTTTTATTATTTCATTCATTTCTTTGGTCTTTACCAGCCTGGTAGTGTTGCATTTCATATTTTTTCCCAGGAAGAAATTAAATAATTGTATTTAATACCAATCAACAGAAGCTAAACACCTGTTGAAATGGCCATTTATGCCATGGGTTTCTAAACTTTGTGCAGTTAAAACTGTGGATTTGTGATAAACATGCACTCACTAATATTGATACACTGTCTCTCACAAAGCCAAAATGCAGTAACTTACAATTACAAGATCATACCATTGAATCTATCATTTTTGGGACAACGTCATGAAAAGAACTAAAGAAAGTTACACTTAATAGGCCTAAATGGCTAGCTAGCAGTTTAGCAGCAACTGCAGCCCCCGCAACTCCGTGATTTACGCACTTTAGTAGATGAGTTTGTTATACCACATCATTCATACACCAGCTTTATCTTAACTGAAATGTAGGGTAAACGGGTTTACCAGTTACCAAGCTAGTTTGACTAAATGCCACTGCTAGCTAGCGGACTAGCAATGCGTTCCATCAGTCAGAAGAAGCTAGAGCCTCTGACTTGTGGAAAACATGTGATTTCATGTGGTTAAGCTACATTTAAAATACCACTTTTGTGTAAAATTAAACATGAATGTATTACTAAAATTGAAAAGCAAGCAAAGTTAAAACAAAAACTTTTAATGGAAAGAAGAAAATAACACCAATAAACTAGTCAAGCTAAATGCTAATTAGCTAAGCTAGAAGTTACTGGTTAAACTCAACTTTAGTTAAATCTTATTTTTGTTTATTTCAATACGAGTTAGTTATCATCAAAAAAAAGAAACAAGTGAAATAAAAAGCAGAAAAACATCAAATAACAAATGTAAGTAGGCTTCTGTGGTTTCCCTTTGCCTTAGAAATTGGACAATGACAGTTATCAGGAATCAGCATAAAAGGGATACAATTTCACAACTCTTTTAGGCTAACTGTTTCCCACTTTGACTACATTTTCACTTCACCGTTGCTGCTCTGTAAGGTATGGGCCTCTGTATATCCTGAGTTGACCTCCATGCCAGCCAATTTACTCTCTCATGTCTGGCAGTGTAACAGAGCTTGGATTCATTCATTAGTTTGATGGCAAGAAAAGCCAGGGCAAGAGCTCCTTATGAGAGGAATTAGGCTCAGGTTAACAATCTGCCGGTGTCAGCCAATCCTATTAGGAGCTGAAGGTCAGTTGAGACTAACAACCTCCTTACTTTAAGTGTGTAATGTGGGTGAAGAATACATCGCTGGTTATCATTTTACTTTAGTATACATATGTAAAGAAAATGGATATCTCAGTGAAAGAGATTAGACAATATATTCTGATGCGGATTACGTTCATCCTGGAATGTGCTATGAGAACAGCTTTTATAAAAATTGGCCTATCAGATAGATGGATTATCATGAATAACAAGAATAGAATAACAATTCCTCTGCTATCTTTTATTACGTAGCTTATGTTTCGTGTAATTTTTGTAGCATATTTTTTACTTAAAGTGGAGTTTTCTAATGCTTTGTATGTATCTCTGAAGCCCACAAACGGTTGAATGCATGTCACTGTTGAATAAACATTTGAAAAACTGACTTTTAAGGGACTGTGTGTAAGTATTCGGGGCAGGGGACAGAAAGTGGGAGGATAATGTATGTATTTTTTTAGAGTCCTTAATTATAAACATATAATGTTAATCAAGTTAAAAGTCGGGAAACATTCACGAACACCTTGTAGAACTTGATGCTTGCTTTTAAATCTCCTTTCAGATAGCTGAAGCTATTTCACCTCTTTTAAAAACATCTTCCCCTGTTCTGGAAGAACAAAGTGATATAGACCCCAGTAACACCTACTGGTGTTGGTGACGCATATTGGTTCACGGAGAGAGGATTGTCGTAGTACATCCGACTTGTCTAGCTTGCAAAAGTATAAAACTAAAGATAAGTCTTAAAATCTTGCTTTCACCCCGCCACCTAATAATAAAAGGTGTCATATTATGATGACAAACACATATATTGACACATGTATATATTTTAGTAAGCTTCGTTGTAGCTACAGTACTTTCTCGTATCTACTTACAGTACAACAGCTGGGTCATGCTGTCATGCATGTAGTCTGCATCAGACATTAAATCAACAAAAGTGTGTAATTAATAACAACAGAATAGGAAAAAAACATATTTGTCATACATATTTCTTTTAGAAATGTGGTCCTGTTAAGGACACCCATAGCATGTAAAATATGGATGTAATATATGTGATGCTATATGAAGAACACCCACCTGTCACCCAATGTGTCTATGCTATTGTGAAGCCACATTTGTAAGCCTTCATTCAATCAAACCTTCATTGAGGTTACTGCTTAGAGACACATTTTCTATAGTTCGTAGTTTAAAAAAAGTTGCATTCAAATAATTTTAGTATACAATTTGAGTCCATAAAGTAGATCATTTTCATCAGGAATACAGTGGTTTGCGTAAGAGAAGCCTAGCTTTGCATCATCTTGTTCCAAAGCCTGTATTGGCTTTGGTTAATACCTGGCAGAATGCAAACTTCACCGTTGTCATCCACCTGTCTTACTCTCTCTTCCAATCTTTACTGGATTGGATCCAATGGCATTTGGTGAGCTGACCTGAAGGTCAAAAGGTACAACTGATGAAACCATGAAAAATGATTCTACCTCAAACGACATTTACATAATAACACACCGTGATATTACATTTTCGAAGAGGGGATTTATTTTGGACAATGAATTCCACAGTACACCGTCTGGACAGAGGTCACCTATGATCAAACATTCATAAATCAACAGGAACATCGGATTTGAATGCACGTTATGGAAATGTTAATCACACAAAGGCAGTAAACTCAACCGTTACGTCATCATGAAACTGTTGAACATTTAATTGGAACATAATAACTTGTTACACTTAGTGTACAACATTGACACACACTGATAAAACCTCTACAATAGATGTGCTATTTAAACCTGCGCATGAAGCCTTTTGGGTTTAAGACAAAGTAACCATGACTTTCCTTCATTTATGGAAAAAAAAATGAATGCACTAAGGCAGTGGTTCCCAAACTTTTTCTGTCAGGCCCCCCTTTTGGAGAAAAAAAAAAGTCGGGCCCCCCCAACACAAGTCAGGCTCAGTGGCGGCGCCAGATATTTATTTTGGGGGTGCTGTGGGGTGCTCGTTTCATAGAGGGTGCTCAAACATTTAGGGTTTCCCATTAATGTACCGGTCGCAACAATGGAATTTTCTACTGCAACAATCCCCACGCATGTACCCGCAACTGTTACAATGAAGGCTCAATAATCAGCTTGCATAGGTGTAAGCAGGGGTAAAGTGCTATTTTTATAGGTGGTGTGTGGACCTCACATAGGGGGGTCCGGGGGCAAGCTCCCCCGGGAAGATTTATTTTTAAATATTGAAGTTAAATGCATCAATATGGTGCACTTTGAGAGCAAAATTAAGAGATCTATGCATAGGATACCTTTCTCAACACCCATATGAAACAGAACTGTAAAACAATGTACTTTTTCTTTATGGATATTTTACAAATCACCCTTTTAAACTTTATTCTTTTTTTACTGTCATAGTATTTCATACCTGTTTTTCATTTATTCTCTTGTTTTTTTATAACTGATCATATGTAAACGTGTGCCTCGGAAATAAGACAAAACGTTTGAGACCCACTGAGATAACACTGAGAGAGTCCTTTGGCTCACTGAGCCTCTCAGTCTGACAGGAGAGGATTCTCCTCCACCTTGTTGTTGAAAACACTCCTTATATCCGTTAGCGTAGCTCGCTAGCACCAGAAGCTAACAACAACGATCTCCGGTACCGGTGCGCTCTCTCTCGCTCGCGCACGACACAAAATGGCTCGTTTCACACACACACACAGAGCCGAGCTTTAATGAAACACAGAGACCCAGACGTAATAGTACTGTATCATATTATTTTTGAATCAATAATTTTTCAAATTATGAATTCTTTTTTTTTTTATAACCATTTTTTCTCCTGGACTCTCGCGCCCCGCCCCACACCCCCTGTCATGCCTCTGTGCCCCCCAAGGGGGCCGCGCCCCACACTTTGGGAACCACTGCACTAAGGCATTCATAATGGTGATAAGGCAGGTAAGCATTTATATATATTCATTTTTTTAATAGCATATATTTTTATTGTGCCTGGCAGCTGGATTAGAATTAGGACTTGCATCTTAATTTGAATAGCTTCATGCTTTTGAGATATTAAAAGAATTATCCAAATAAATTCAGAGCAGATAGACAACAGCAATGTAGAGACGAAGACAGACACACATGTAAACACGTAGACACATACTGTTCATGCAGTCTCTGATTAAATGGGTTTTCATCTGGATAATCTGTATCACAAATCCACTAACCTGTTTCCTCTATTGACTGAAAGTGTATTAGGTCTATTGTAGGTTAACAAATAGTTTAACAGTGACTTGGAGGAGGGTTATATTCACAGACAAAATCAATATATACATTTAAGTTGAACACCAACAAGAAACAACCTGGATATTTTCTGAGATCTATGTTTTACATTTTGGAGTAAAACCCGAAAATGTAGGAGAACATGTTTTCTCTAACATTAATAAATGATACTTTTGCGAGAAAACATTTAAAAGGTATTCCCGTAAATGTGTGAAATAAAATCTTATATTGCTTATAAATGTATTATGTTTTTGAGATATGAGAGAAATACAATTGAATAATTCTCTGAGATAATAAGGTTATAACAAGAATATAATCAGATAAAAATAACTTTATGATCTCATATCCAAGTTGCTCCCAGCCAATTTAAATTGTAAAATTCAGATTTTTTTTCTCTGAAAATACCCTCCATCCAAGCTGCAAAATAATAATATTTTTTGTTTAGCTACAAGGGCCTTAACACACTGTCTTTTTTCAGAGGGGTTATTTAATTGATCTTTGAAATTTGTCATCAACCACCATCATAGATAATCTCTGTACATTTACCAAAAATAAAACAAACAACATTGTACAAACACCTCACTGGCCTCAAAGCTCATTTGGGCCTGTTAAACATCTGACAGCAAAATACATCTAACCTTTATGTACAAATGTACACTGATGCAGTACAATATGTCAAGGACATTACAGGTATATAACCGTTAGGCACTAAAAGGTGTTTCAGTGTAACTTGGACCACCTTTTTCCTCCGGACTGATCCATAATAGACCCTGGCCTAAATCTGTGTTTTAAAATTAAAGTATAATCCAAACCACATTCCTAAATACTGTATGTGTGTGGAGTTTTATTCTTAAAACAGTTGAGGTTACTGGATATTAACGCTGTACACGTAAAAGTCTTGTTTTTTTGTGTGGGAGAAAGCTCCTAAATGTACAAGATGCAGAATACCTTGCGTTAATTCAATGAACTATACCAAAAAACTACCATCATGGTTCAACAAATTGTGCAGCTCTCCATATACAGAAAAAGCAAGATATTCAAAACATGCATTTCCACCAAAATGAACCAGCAAAATATGAAAATATATCATATTCAGTCCAAGATCTCAATGTGCTTCAAGATCCGTATCTAAAATAAAGTTAATATCGATAATCAGACTTTTTTTTTTTTTTAAAGTTTGGTTTACTCGAACTGTGAAAAATATAGATTGAAGCTAAACTGAACGATTTAAAATACATATCATTTTTTTTTTATAGTATCCACTTAACAACAGGTAAACAGCAGAATATGTTAAATGGCATTCAATAAGCTAATGTTGATTATGGGAGGGTTACAATTTAGAAGGAACATGCCGGCACTTTGACCCAGTGGCGTTACCTGCCTGCGATAAACCTTCCTCCTGTTATTCTCGTCACAGAGAGGATGAGCAGACCTCAGTAGTCTGCACATGCACTGTCCCTGGATCAGTGTTATCAGAAGTGTTAAAATACTGAAGCTCAGGATGGTTTATATGTCCATATCCACGGGTCGGACTTCTCCGGTGTTGTTCTCCTTCACCCACAGCTCTCTGTCTCTGCCGGGGTCCACGTTCTGCAGCAGCTTGTCCACCGGCTCCACCGTCTGCAGAGACATGAGCCCATAAAACAGCAGCATTTAGTGTCATCACCTCATGTAAATACTTGAGTTTGTTCATCCAACACTTTGGATCAAAGCCAGAGCTTTCAACAACTACTTGGAATAAAATCAGGTATGTTTTTAAAGGAATATTTTTATTTCGGAAATACCGGTACTCATAGCAAGTAACAACAATTTTATCTCATCAGACAGCTCTTTATTTAGACAATATATGTATAGAAACTTCATCAGGATAAACTCTTTTAATGTCATGTGGGGAAAAGCTTTTAGAGGTTTAAAAAGCATTTTGATGCGATAACATTCTTCATCTTTTTGTAGCTTCCCATTAGTATTTATTGTGGGTAAAAATGCGAACATTTAATGTGTCACAATAATCAAGTTTTAGTCTCAAAATATACAAAGGGTCTCTGTGATGAGGTTAAATCACTGTTTTTGTTAATGGAGTCTGGTGGCTTTGAAGAGAGCATAGACAGCGGTTTGCTGTTAGGAAGGGCTGTCTGACAGCAAGGTAAGCATTGTGTTTAGGTGTCAAAAAATTATTTTGTGGATGCCTCAGGTCCACATCATTACATTTCTTGTGACATTCATTATTTGATCATTTGTTATTTTCCACCACTGGATACAATTATGATATCTGCACATTAAATATAAGGCTAATGCAGCAGCGAGCTTAGCATAGCAAACGAAAGAAGAAAAGGTGGAAAGAAGAAGAAGATAAAGAAGAAGTAGACATGCTTATTCATCTCTCCAGGGGGAATTCACAGAACAGTAGTGAGGGAGGATGGGGACTTCGGTGACTGATATACTATATATATGATCATTCTGTACTATAAAGTACATACACAGCCTATTCCGTATTCTTTTTCATTTTTTCTGGTCAAATATTAGCTCACAGCTTCTCTGTGGCCATCAATGGTTGCATTCACCAGTGTACTATTTTATATTTCGAATATTTTTTATCAATCAAATTATTTTCTGTATTTGAGGAATACTCAATTGGACATCAAAGTTTACAGTCATTTTTTCTTCCATTATTGATCAAATTATTAGCTGAGAAAAATGATGAGCTGCACCAGTGATGTCAACTGGCTTTGACATGATTTCACGTGCCACTTGGTGTGAGAGTGGATGTTTGACAGAAGGCGCCCTGCGGTCCATGTCTCCCCTGTAAGCCTTTCATCCAACACTCTGAGCCTCAGAGAAACCCACCGAGACGCTGTGCTCATCTATTCAGGAGGTGAAGAGTAAACCCTGTAAATCTAGCGTGAGGTATTCTGTCAGCACTGTGGGAATAGCACAGGTAATTCTCAGTGCGAAGCTGAAGAGACAAAACCCTCAGAGGTGAGACAAAACCCTCAGAGGTGATACAAACACTAGAGATAAACCTGAATGAGCATTTCTTCATAAAACATACACCCTGATGTTTGTGCTAGTCAGGATGGAAAACAATCTCATATTATGCAAGGGGGCTCACACTCTGGTTGAACATGTCCGTCTCATGCCTCAGAGTGGTGTACTGGCGTAAATGCTGCTGGATCCACTCGATCCGCTCCACCTCCAGCTTCTCCAGCTCCTGAAGAGGAACAACGTTCACATTTAGTAACAGAGGAAAACTGATTACCCTGGTGTTTATTTTAGATTGGATTTACTTCCTTATTGTTTGTCCCAGCTGCTGTTAGTGTACACATAATAATTACAAAAGCAAAAATGTTCCCCCTTCAAATATTCCTTCTTAACGAAACACCTTAATGCTATGCAATATAACGTCCATTGTAGATCAAAAACAACAATTTAAAGTATATTGGGGTCAAAATTACCAGGATTTTTTCAATTTTATATGAAAAACAGGTGTTCATATCATACAGTAGTTTTGCACTCATATCTATACTTTTTATTACAATTTTAACATTTACATTTTGGTCATTTGTTTTATTTTTCAAAAAGTAATTCCTAACCTTTTGCCATGTTACCACATTACTGTAAATACAAAGAGCTGAACCAGTGAACTAACTGTTTGTTTGAATGGAGTCTGGTGGCTTTGAAGAGAGCCACTTGATTTGTATAAAGGCATAAAAAGCATTGTTTTAAACTTCCATCGTAGTTTAAAAACAACAACAGAAAAGTTGATTAAAGTTTCAAATTAGCAGGATTAAGGTGGTTCATTAAGGGGAAAAATATCTCTCATTCTGGGTTTCTAAGTGATTCTCGTAAGGTACATTTTTTAAGATGCAGATTTCTATTCTCTCCAAGGGAAGATTTTACCATGCTGGTGGTGACCATTTCCTCAAACCACTTGCACTGGGTTTGGTTGTAGAGATCCACGCAGCGCATCAGGTCGTCTCCTGGAGAACACACACAGAGGTCAGAGGTCAACAGAGAGCTGAGAGTCCACAGATATACAACGATCCACATATCATGTTCAACATTTGTATTGTTTTAATGGTAAGTGTTTTACATACATATGATGTTTCTGGATAAATATTAATGTTGCATTTTTCTGCTGTAGATCACAAAAACATAAAATGGAAATACAGAAGTTCAGTACAGGTACTCCAAATGTGTACTTATGTAAAGTATCAACTGTACATTTCAACAAACATGTTATCATCTTTTTTTTGCTTTCATGTATGTTGCTGTTATGTGTGTGATTATTATTTTAATACATAGTAGTAGCATTAATAATCAGTGCTACAAATGCAAAACCTTTAAGGACCAGCAGAGGGCACTCAGATTTCACGCTTCATTGATTCAAAGATGAATCATTTGATGTGAACTGTTATCATGGCTGTCTTTAAAGTATAAACCAAGCTATAAAGACTAGTGGATTGCTTTTTCACATATCATGTCTCTTAGTTCTTAAAAAAATAAAACGATATTCCATAACATTTAAGCTCTGTATATCCTGAAACCTGAAGAAGAGGTATAAGAACAGGAGCTTGCCTGAGGCGTATTAGTATTCTCTCAGTGAAGGACAGCAGCACTGATCACCAACACAGAGCCGATATGATTTAACTGTAACTGCGGACGGTATTGATTACTGCTGTGGTCTGTGACTAACCTACTGAGATGAGGAGAGAAGGAGGAAATTATACATTCTGATGACGCCTGAGTAGAACAATTACAAAATGGACTCCTTTTATTAAAATGTCAAAGAGTATTTCTGGTAGGACAGTAGGACGTGTCTTTGGATGTGCTTGTTGTACTAGTCGCTCCAAATTTAAACCAGTGCAATTATACAAAACAAAATTGCCTTCACATATTTATATCCATCACATGCAAAGAATGATTAGAGAAGCATCACATCTATTCTGTAAATCGCCAGTAATAAAAGCATCAGTTGTTAGGGATAATTGCACGAGTGCACCGCTTGTGATTTTGTTCATAAATGTTGCCACATCCAGTTTGCATTGGGTTACCCCGATCGACAAAAGATAGGGGCTTCCTACAGCTTAAGGCAAACTAGATGTAAGACTTGAAGACTTTATGAAATTCACTTACTAACATTTGAGAAATCAAATGAAATGTTCTGCTATCCAGAGTCAGGTGATGTTAATGCTACAGACATTTAGCAGATTATTTTTAAACAAAGCAATGTCAACAAAAATAATCACTGAATCATATTTGATCATTTTTAGGACTTTTAAAAGATTGATTTAAAACATATTTATACCAATTAAAACCTTATTTTTTAGATGAATCCATTCTATGCCTTTAAAGTGGCCCTATAATGCTCATTTTTAGGTTCATTTTGTGCCTCTACTGGAACATGTCTTCATGCTCTAATGTTCAAAAAGCTCTTTCTTTTTCTCATACTGCCTGTGCTGCAGCACCTCTTTTCACCCTCTGTCTGAAACCAGAGCCCAGTCTGCTCTGATTGGTTAGCTGGCCGGCTCTGTTGGGATTGGTCAACCACTAAGAGATGTCCCGCCCATTAGCCTCACGTACAATGTGTTGGAGCGCTAGCCGATAGAAATGCGAGCGTTGCATAGTGATATCACTGTGTTTCGGAAGTAAATAAAGGATTCCAATGGAGGCATTTCAGGCAGGGGGGGTGAAGATACACAGTGATTTGCAGACCATGTACATGCATACAAACCTATATAACACACTACAGGAAAGGGAAAAGCATAATAAGGCCCCTTTAAAGACTTTTAAGGTCTGTAGGATCCCTAGACTAACCTGACACTTTATTAAACAATAATGCTTCAAGATCATTTCTTTGACTTCACTCTTAAAATCCCAAAGCAACAGATGTTTGGACTGTGACTTCTGACCTGCTTGTGTAGATTTCCGCCGAGCCTTCTTGATGTCCTCCTCCGTCTTGTTGCTGATTTTAATCTCCAACTGCTGGGTCTTCACCTCCAGATCTTTCTGCCGGTCTGCCAAAGCTCTACGGGACTACACCCACCCACCCA